CGAATATATGTACATATGTAAATCGGAAATCGAAAAGCACATTGGTACATGGCTGGATCCGAACCTAGGACCTGCAGATTGCAAGTCAAGAGCTTGAACAATGAACCACCGACGCTCCGAAAAAAATCACTTTAGCTAGTATAAATCTTGTAATGGAGAAAGCTCATGTTCATTTTATTATTTAAAGGAATAGTTACTTTACAATTTTGATTAACTAAATACATAATATTCCAAATTCTAACAATAAACGTAGCAATCCGCCCGCTAATTCTCAGCCGCAAACAACACCACCGTTATCTTTTGTTAACTGATTGCTTCACTCCCAAAAGTACTCTTCTGCGCTTCACTGAATAATTTCATGGAATTACTACTTAATTTTACTGGGTCGTTTTGTTAACCATTATATTGCTAGAGGAATGTAAGAATCATTTGGTGAATTCCAGGTTTTGAACATTTAATTAAAATTTTCATTGTAGCATTTAGCATTTAACTTTGGTATTACTAGCCGTCGCCCTCGACTCTGTTTGCACAGAATTATAATTTAAAAAAAAAAACTTAGTGACTAGTCTATGTGTTCTTCCAAACTATATTCTTCATCGGTGTCAAATATCGTCAAGATTCATTGACCTGTTCCGGAGATACCTTTAAACAAATATACATCCATCTAAGCTTTCGCATTCACAATATTATTAAGATTGTAATTATTTTGGCAATGTAAACGTACGTAAAATATATTTGTATTTGAGTTTCGAATTCAAGACACGCCTCTCCTGTAAGGTTTACGAATTTTTGTAAAGTTAAAATTAAATAACGAAATCAAATTGAAAATTTTAAAACTATTCAGATATATGCGTTATTATTTTCTACATTTAACTTAGAAGACAGACTCAGTTCATTTAATAATAAGACGAATATTTATTACACTAGTTCTTTCGCCCATTGAACAGTATATTTCTTCATCAAACTATCTTTTTATTCAGTGGAAAAGCAGGCTATAAACTTAATCGTGTCATGTGACAAAGATCACATCGAAAGTGTTTGTAACCACAGACCTGCGTACATCAGTGTGGTTTGGAAGCAATTATGATTGTTGGCGCGGCGCCACACCGCGTGGAATTAATACATTACTTAACGAACCTTAATTCAACAACAATCTATTGATGTTAATAAGCTTGAAATTGAAAAAAGATGAACTTGTCTTTTAGAAGTGAGGTGTCATATTATACGTGTTCAAATTTAGTATGTAAAAAGTACACTTGTAAGTAGTGTCTGTTTTTCTTCTTTTCTTGTAATAAATCATTCAGACGACCGTTAAATATCTGACCGTGGGTTTCTGAGTCCTCACTGCGCGCCTGCTCTCTTAGGGCGCGTCTTGAGGGAGCGGGGTGCGCCGGCGTCGTCAACGATGTTGATACTAAAGCGTCAGTGGTGTTGTTGTTCAAGTTTCCACCGGACGAATATACGTGAGTGTTTAGCCGTTTTTATATCAGTTTAGTATAATGTCTCACGAAAGTTTGAATAATTTAATTATCATTGTTTTGTCAATAACAATATGTAAGAGATACAGGGATGACGGTATGTTTATACGGAGATTTTGTTTTAAGAAATAAGTTACCGGTCAAATATAAATCTAGAAAAACTTATTATATGCCTTCTACGTCTCTTAATAACTATATTTTTATTAATGTAAAAGACTACATTCATTTATATGTTAAAAAACATAATTGCAATCAAGAAATGAAGAGAACACTATTGAATTTAAATTGATTACTATTACCGACCGCAGCGTCCGTTAACATTTGCAGAACATTTGGCGCGATTTGCACTAATTCCCCGACTCCCATATGCGTTAGCAAATTACTTTTCACTCGCGTTATAATAATAAACATTTATATGGCGATACTAAAAATAGAATTAAATTAAATTTATATGGAATGTAGTAAAAAAAATATTAAAGTATCAAGATTACTTAATGCGACTATTTTTTATTCTTCTCTATCTAGAATTATGTATCTGTTTTATCTGTGCTTTTTTATTTCTTTATTCTATGCATTTACATATTTAATTTTGTACATCCTGTATATCGGCGACATCATCTAAAAATCATGGAGTTCAATATTCAAAGAAAAATACTGTTTTCATATTTTTCGTTTTTGACATATTATTTAGTATTCTACGACAATATTTGTTGTTCCTTGTATTATATCTATACATCTTTATATAGACCCTGCATAAAAAACTGAGCCCCGTTGGAAATGGAAACAAGATTCCTCGTAGACAGGTTGTCACATAAATTCAATTTCTTGTGCGTCGCTTAAATGAAGCGGTCGTCGTATTTCCACGTTGTCTTCGTTACGAAAGCGGGAGTGAAAGATATTGCCGGTTTTATATTAAATCCCCTACAATGTAATCATATGTAACAACGTACTTTTACAAGCATTGTTAAGACTGAAATTCAAGTATGTTTTTACACACACGTAGTAGGCTCAAATAATCTTGATACTTAAATAAAAAATAATAATTTATTTTTTATTTTATAAAGAAGTTATTGGTAATATGAGGTAATACTTATGTAAAACTATGTTAAACGTACTAAATAGCTTACCAAAGACCTCTCTTTAAAAAAACATGTTTTTTTGTGTATACTTACTGTGTACAATAAACAAAGTAAGGCTCATAATTATTATTTAATAATTAAAATGCATAACTCCTCTGAGGATAAAACGTATACGACAAAGCCTGCGATGCTTCAATTATGCATATTTTGATGTCAGAATGTAAACTCGTTGACCTATTTGTTTATCCCGAAAACATTTGCTTTTTGACTGACTGACAAAAAAAAAGTTACGTAAAAATGTTACTTTTTTCAAATTTTTATTATAAAATATCGTTAGTCGCTATATCTTTTATTTTGGACTAACAGTCGCCTGCGACTCCATCCGCGTGGAATTAAAAAACTATTAGTGGCCTTTATGTTCTTTCAGACTATGTTCTATATATTTGCGAAATTTCATCGAGATCTGTTCAAAATTCAAAATAAAACAAAAATCACCAGTTTCACCAACGTAATTAATGAGATAATTTATTTCTTTATTAAACAAATTAACTTATAATAACAAAAATCGCTTTCCTTTCCCTTTACAAAAAATTATAACAATTTGCGTAACACTTCTGTGTCGAACTGTACTTACTAATTTATTATTACTCATTAAATTCACTTAGTAATGAAGATATTAAATCATCAAGGCAGGTACAGTCGCAGTTAAAACTGCTTTCTTATTACAGAGTTAAAATATTCAGAGAAGTGCTGCATTAATGTTGCCAGGAACTTTGCGTTTCATGACTCGTTATGAATAATTTCAACCTTTGCGCTTCGTATTTAAGCTTGTAGGTGAATTAAATGTAGAAAGATTCATTGAAATACTAAGAAGAAATATAATTTTAACTCTTAAATCAAAGATTAAATCGCTAGAGTGTGGTACAGTGGAGAATAGTCTGAAGGTAGGCAACGCATATGCAATTGCTTATGTCTATGGGCAACAGTCACTTCGCTATTTCAGCGATTTCAGGTGGCCGCTTGCTGGTTTGCCACCTTATGATAAAAAAGTCTGAAGCAGTTTCGACCTTTTAGGTCAACAACGGTCATTCTGATACTACAATAGATTAAAATTAGAAGAAATTGAATTGTTTTTATCGCTACCAAGATAAAAATGTTTTTCGGCAAAACATGAAATGGAATAAAAAATCTCACTGGTGTTATTTTTTTTGCATTAGTAAATATCTTTTTATTTTATCTACAATCTATGATATGATAGTATTGTACGTATAATCAGGGGATTTTTATACTTTTGATTAAAATAATTAAAGACTTTATTTTAAGATGCCGTCAATAGATGGCGCTATTCATTAGTTTTGTATTTTTAATAAAAGTTATAGGACATGAGTAAACAATTCTACATATATGGCTTGTTGGTTTGCGAGTGTTAAAACTATAAAAAAGCTTCATGAATATCTTTACACAATCGACCTTGTAATTAGCGAATGTAATTAGAAGAATGGAATTACCTTTAATACTACTTTTAAGGCTTCGCGTGAGTGCCTTAGGGGCTATTAAATTTAAAATTGCTATTTTTATTATTATTTTTATGAGCAAAATAGAAATAATATAATTTACACTCTATATGTGGATTGTTAAGAGCGTCGGTGGCTCAGGGGTTTAAGCACTTGACTTGTAATCTGCAGGTCCTGGGATCGAATCCCGCCATGTACCAATGTATTGTTCATTTTTCTATTATTACATATGTACATTTATCTTTTATGTTCTTACGGTAAAGAAAAACTTCTTGATGCAACCTGCACATATCTATAAAGAAATTCAAAGATGTGAAAAGTCGACCATCCCGTACTGATAAGAAATAAGTAGACCACAAAAGTGTGTTTGTAATATATCAAAATGTTTACTTCTTCTTCACTTCTACGCTTCACTACCTATTATTTCTTGCATATTTATACACTTTTTATTTGACCTGAAAGCCTAGTTGTATATCTGGCTTCGCTGGAACACCTGTTGACATGTGGTCTGTTTCGACGCAGGACATGTAAACTGCAAGAGGTTGACTGATGAACGGCGGTGCAGAACAGGCGTTGTTGAGGTTCTCTTTACAAATAACAAGATCCAGTTTGTGTCGCTACGCTTGTTATAAGTAGATTTTATTTGAAGTACTCGATTTTATTATATCGCTGACCTTAACTGCCCTTTTCTTTACACTTAAAGGATATTTGAATCTATCGAATGTGACCTCCTGGAGCCTAGACGGCTGAATCGATATTGACGAATAAGGTATAGGACGAGTAGGTCGGTTGGTATTCTTCCTATGAGTGTCATTATTATCATTCGAATTTTTATATTTTCTTTTTGAATTTGGAATAAAAATGACCACACTAATAAGTTTTAAACTTCATTTATTTAAATTGTGTACAATTGTGTTCATCCAATGCAATGTCATTCATTTTGGTCCTTCGAACATTCTCAATTTTTCACACCATACACTTTTAATAAATATACATTTTTATATACTTATATATAGTAATATTTACATTTATACAGTTAATACGTAATAGTAAAAACTTTTAACAGGTAAAAAAAGCGGATCTTTTTTTTTTGCCCGGAATCATTTCTTTGCAGGTTTAGGCATGATTTTATTTACATAATTAGGCATAGTATAGTATAAACTTATATAAAAGCGGCTAAAATACTCACGTATTCGGTGGCGGCACATCGGGGGCCGTTATTCAGGTTGAGCGGGACTGGTAATATTTCGCGGACGCGGCCCGGCGCTCACTGATCAAGGGCCCTGATGAAGGGGCTCTGGGCTCGAAACTAGTCGGTGCCGCCACCGGATACGTGAGTGTTTAACCGTTTTTATATAAATTCATGTGTTCAATAATTGTTAGTAGAGGCTATGCTTTATCCTATAACATAAAATATTACGATTCAATTGCAAATAATTCTATTTTTGAATTATTTTCATTATCAAATGGGTGTCAAATCTATTCGCAGAATAAATGGAAAGTCTCTAATAGTAAATGCGATTGTTTTATTATTCTTGTAAGCACCAACAAGGGAATCGAGATTGCAGATTTTTTAAACCTACTCTTTAAAATGTTTAGTAGTTATTGTAGTCAAAAACTTATCATCCATTAAATACTTTCTATATATAATTATTGTTAACATTTTATAATTAATTAAAATTTCAATTCTGAACTTCAAGGGTCAAAGTACATAATATAAATACCCAGGAACGTCAAAAAACTACTGCCTGAGTTTAGATTCTCGGAACTAATTTTAGTTCTCTTTTGCTATGAAAATATTAACATGAAACAATGCCGGATGAAATTGTATTTAAACTTTTTATTCGAAACTTGATTCAACTTTCAAATGTTTTTAACAATTTAAACTTGTGTAGCGTTCTCCACGGCATTTAGAATTTCTTTAATTTCTGTTGAATGTATTTTCTTGCTTTGAATTGTTTGATTAGGAACATTCTTTGTTCTATTTAAAGATTCGCTTACAACATTCACACTGTACGCCGCTCTATCTTTTATAGGATTCTTTAGAAATCTATCATTTTCAGCTAGAGTCACTTTTAGTGGTTTCTGTTGTGTTCTTGCTGCGTTCATTGATATAGCTTGTAAACTTTGCAACTGGTTATTAATATTCGGTGAGCTTAGACTATTCCTAGGTATTGTTGCATGTGGTGTACCAGGTGCTGGTGAAGGTGCTGGTTCATCATCCAGTTCATCTTGCATACAGTACTTGCTGACTGGACCTAGATCTATCTCACTCTTGTTAAGGCTGTAATAATTTCCTCCATTACCGAAAAGTTTCATATTAAAGCTATCATAATATGGTATAACACCATTCAGATTTGTGAATGCTTGACGACTGCTGTCTGGATAACTCATTCTTGGTCTTCTTGGTAATGTTACGTATCCTTTTGGGTTGATTAATGGTATCGTCCCTTGGTTTGAATTTATCTGAAGAGTGTTGTACATTATTGGGTTAAAATTAGTTTCAAAATTAGGAGATTTGAGTGGACTTCTAATATGTTTTTGATTTATCGGCTTTTCTTGAGCTGTAATGCCACTAGATGGTGACACTTGATTACCGTTTCTGAGTGGAAATGAAAGAAGATCAGGTGGATATGCTTGATGTTCTTGTGCGAGTCGATCGAGTAAAATTTCCTTAGACCTATTCGGCATATCTACTTGGTGACGTCGATTAATATTTTCTTCGTAGGACGCTGTAAAAAAATAGAAATGATATAAAATTGTTGTAAATATCGACATAAAGATATTAAAAGACATCAAATCAAAAATAATAAATTAGATTTCTTGAGTTGCAATACAATTACTCTAATATAATATTGTGGTTTTCGAGGATCTATTTCTAGTATTAATACAGATATTTTTTGCTTTAAATATGTAATTCTTTACTACTGTAAAATCAACAAAGGAAATTTATGTAATTCTAAAGGTTTAAAGGTTTGAAAACAAAAATACCTATGTTTTCACAGCTTATTTACGGAGCAGGTAATAGTTAACAAACTCTACGTAAATTTCACTGATTAAATAGGAATTACAAAGGTGGGTGGACTTTCCGTTATATATAGCACAGGGTTGTTTTGTAAAGTCTCGAAAAACAAAACCGAGAAACATTTAACTCATTAAAAATAAAGGCCGAAAATTTTGCGAAATAAAATATGTAAATTTGATTAATCCTAAGATCCTTACCTAAGACGGATTCATTCTCGAGTAAAGTTTTATTCAATTCCGACATCTCTGTCGCATCACTTGTTAAAGAAGGTGCCTCTTCGCACTTTCTAGCTGGTTTCATAATTGGATTTACTTCAGATTTTAATCCTTTATCCGGTTCAGATGTTACTGATCCTTCAATTAGAGCTTCACCGTTAGTAGATGTATCATTTTTTATCAATCTTTTCATTTCTGAATTTTGTGAAGTTAGTAAACAAACAGCTATCACTGCGCCGAATATTATTACGATAGCTGTTAGACATCCTATTAGTATTGCAAAGGAATCTATATCCATTCCAGCTATAGTACCAGCTCCTGCGTATTTTGATAGAACTAGAATTGTTGTTTTCTCATCTCTTCCACCAGGATTTTCAGCAACACAAGTATAATTACCTCTATCACTATAACGTGAATGAATTATTGTCAGATTAAGCCATCTTATTAGGTCCATAGTATTTTCTACTATAGAATATCTATTTTCTCCAAAGGATTTAATTTCTATTAGTTTTCCATTAAAACGCCAAGTGACATCTGGTGGAGGATTCCCAACAACTTTACAAGTAAGAGTAACATTGTCATCATAACTTTTGATCGTTGAGTCAGGAAGTGGTTCTAATATTGTCGGTCGACAGGCAAAGTTCGATGAGTCTAGTTCATTCCAGAGTCTATCACGGATCGACGCGGGTTCAGCGCACGACGTTGGTGGCGTATACAAATTATGACTAATAACCCAATCTCTAAACGATTGTAAATTACAATCACATCTCCACGGATTATTATGAAGATCCAAACCGGATAAATTTCTTAGCGAAGACAAAGTTTCTGGTTTCATATGATTTAAATTATTGCCATCAAAACGTAGAATCTTTAACTGAGGCAAGTTGATGAAAGCTTTTGCACTAATTCGAACTATCCTATTGTTGCTCATTTCAACTTTCTGAAGGAACTTCAAATTTCTGAACAGACCTTCTTCTAACTTATCTATATAATTATTGTTTAAGTTAATCAATCTTAATTTTTCCGTACCTTTAAAAGTGTCTGGGTGTATGTATCTTATATAATTTTTTGACATATCTAATTCTATCATAATAGCTAGCGACAAGAAGGCTGCTTTATGTACTATTTCTATATTACAATCTCTTAAAAACAACTTTTTCAAATTACTTAGGCCTACCCTCTTAAAAGCCTCTTGGGGTAACTGATGTAAGTTGTTGTTCGAGATATCTAAAATTTGTACGTCATTACTAAGATTGGCCGGCACGACCTTTAGGCTTGAGTTTGAGCAAATTGCGGCTTTGTTTCCCGATTGCCATCTACAGTCACAAGGTCTCTGACATTCTGTTGTGAAGTCGGCAATTGTGAAGGATATTAGTACAAGACATACTATGAAAGTTTTTATCCATGTTTCCCAACATTTGTGAGCCATTTTGCTGTTGTGTTGGTCATTTCTTCGTTACAGGGCATTCCTGCTTATTATACTTGACTCGATACATATGTAATCTGAAACAAATAATGTTTTAATTTATAATTCAATACTACAACCAAACATCTACTTTAGATTCTCAGAAACTGCTGTACTCTTTATTGAGATTATTATTTACAATTTTTTTTAATTTTAATTTTATTTTTGAATTTAGAAAATGTCTATGTTGCCAGAATTAAAGTACGTGGTTGATAGTATTTTTTTTACAAGCTACTATATTTCTTTTATGTTGTATGTTGAAAAGTTTATACAACTTACTAATTTAACCTTTAGTTGCCAAGGTCACTTTAACAAGGTTACACACCTTTGTCACGCTATTCATGCTTGTTCTGAGGTAGTGTGTGCCCTACCTTGCGTCATTATTTGTCTATGAGGATTTTTAAATGAGCATTCACGCCTATTAACTTAATTGGAGTAGACATAGATGGTTATTATCTATTTTTCCATAACGATTGTAACACATACTAATTACATATTTGTTTGTTCTTTTAAATAAGGTCTGACTGAATTATTTTGACGTTTATAATTTTTCATGCCTTTTTTTTATTTAAAGATATGTAAGTAACGAAGAGGCGTAAAGTTTAAACCACTGTTTGAAATATTTGGTGCCATTAAATGTGTTTTCACTTCAAACGTAATGAAAGTTCTGAATAAAGCGCTTTCAAAGCTCGACCTCAAAGTAAATTTTCTTGAAGAATTAATATACATTTTGGTTTGCTTTTTGGTGAAGTTTAAAATCAACTGTAATGAAAGAGTCTTACTAACAAATTCAATGCCAAAAATGTAACTAGGACAGGACTTTTACATTAACAATTTGCTGCAAGATAAAAAACTAAGTTATACGCTTGTTTTATCCTCATCTAACTTAACTAATTCTTATTTGGGATTCCGTGCGAGGACTAAGGCTGCCAGTCCACCAGAGCGGAGCGAGGCAGCGGAGCCGAGAAACGGACTAATGCGGAGTGGAGTTGCGTACTGTGACTGTCCACCGGAGCGGAGCGAGGCTGCGGAGCGGAGTGAGGAAGTAATGCGGAGCGGAGTTGCTGTGTTTTTCAATATGCGGAGCTAGGCAGCAAGTACGCGACGAGTGATTTCGAGCTCCCGGCGTGGGGCGATTGGTTTAGTTCTACGCGAAATGTCAGTGATAGCAGACATGCCATCGAAAAAGTTGATACATTATTATGCGCCCGCGCCCGCACTCGCTTCCCCGCTCCGCATCCCCGCACGTTTCCCCGCTCCGTTTCCCCGCTCCGCTTACCGGTTTTATATGAAATTTTAAACTAGCTCGCAAGTCCCTGTCCACTTAAGAGGAGCGGAGATTTTGTGCAATCCTATTGGTTAATATTTCTCCGTTTCTCGGCTCCGCTGCCTCGCTCCGCTCTGGTGGACTGGCAGCCTAACCCCCCTCTCATGTTTACTCAAGTAAATCCAAAAATCCCCGCTTTGCCTCCCCTACTCGCGAATGGCGTCCAGCTATCGTCACCGTTGAGGGATGTGATGACCCTTGAAGTGGCCATCTTGTTTTTAAAAAAGGTGTTTATTTTTATATAATAGAATTTTTTTTTTTATTCGGAAAACAACTAACGAAATTGGTAATACTTACGTGGAATTGTGTTGACAAAAGAAGAGGCAGGTTTCCTGTAACAACCAGAAAAGGAAAATTATTTTTTTGTCCTCTAACAATTAAGCATCTATAGCCTAATGGTTATGGGTACGGATTTCCGATCACAAGGTCGGGGGTTCGAATCCCGCCATTTTACTACTGTCGTAAACCATATCCTAGCACAAGGCTAGAGCTTAGTTAGAATGGCAAAAGAAATATTAGTAAATTTGCAAAAAATCTGCTAATATTAAAAAATATATATATTTTGTAAATAAAGAAAATTATTTTCTTAATTGTCAAATAATATTTGAATTCAGAATGTTATTCAATTTCGAAACTTTGTAAATTATAAAAGAATCTCATAATTAGAATACAGATATTTTAAGTATTTTTTACAATAGTATTCAACCTTTTTCGGAAAAACTTCACTTGAAATTTAGACCAATTTTCAAGCGTCGTTAAATCTTTCAACATTTTTTTATTATTGTAACCGTCAAAGGTAAATTATAAAATAGAAATTTATTCAAATATTTCATCATCAAATTATTTAATAAATTGTAACGAACTTTATGAAGTAACTAGCTGTCGCCCGCGACTCCGTCCGCGTGGATATATAAAAACACTTAGTGTAACCCACCCATCCATCTATCCACGTCACATCCATCTAAACATTCATATTTATTATATTAGTAAGTTAAATAAAAAGCAGTTCTTCAAGGCATAAATCGAAAAAAAATAGTATCCTATGTCCGTCTCCTGGCTCTAAGCTACCTCCTTACCAATTTTCAGGCATATCGGTAAAGCCGTTCTTGAGTTATTAATAGTGTAACTAACACGACTTTCTTATATATATTTAACAGTTAACAGTGGTAGAGCCCGCTTTAACATCTTCGCACGAATCGGCCCGGCTTGCCCGGTGATAAACCACGACCATACAGAAGACAGGCGTGGCGTTCGTCTGATGAGTGTGCGTCCCGGAGGCCTAATTTAGTCCCTTTTCCCTTCCCACCCTTTTTCTTATGAGGAAAGGATGGGAAGTGGAAGTGGACTTCGCTACTTCAGCGATTTCAGGTGGCCGCTCGCTCGTTTGCCACCTTATGATATAAAAAAAATCTAGAAAGATAGATAGATAATAAATGTATATAGAAAAAGTAAAATTTCAATAAATTATTCGGTGAGAAAATTGGGTCCATTTTCATTTATATACAAATTAAAAGTTGTCTAACAAGCAAGGTATAATTATGTCAACCATTATATTATAAATACAATAATCATAGCTTGTTGTTGTCAAAACAAATTTTAAATTCAACCTTGAAAGTTATAGCTACATGGATTTATTAAAAACTTGTTAGACTTATCATCAATTTCGAGTAATAAAAACTTTTTCAAATTTGTTCTTTAAATACATTTTTTAATTATGAGATTGAATGTGAAGGCTACCAAAGTAGAGCAAAACTCCATCAAATCTTCGCCCACTTCCATTCCTTCCCTCAAACAAAAGAGTGGGAAGAAAAAGGAGACTAAAATTGATGGTTTTACAAGAGATTTTTTAAATTTCCTTAGGTAAAAACAGATGAAGACTTAAGGTCAAGAACTATATTATTGAAAAAATGTTACTTTTTTATCTAGTAATTTAAAGAACAAGTTGCGTGCACATAAAACCAGACGTAAGATATCTTCCTGCTATCTGAATGTTTAATATTACTCCGCATTTGCACCTCCTCTCGCCCAGTTAGCTGGCTCGTTTCTCTTGCGAATCTATTCATTTATTTATAAGAAAGCTTTATTAGTAATTCACTTGATGTAAATTCTTATTTACATTTTGTTCATAATTATTTAAAGATTTTATAATTAAAATTTACTTAGAAACAAATAGCTATCGGATTCTAAACCTTCACAGTGAAATTTACATACATAAAAAAACACATACATCAAAACAAACTAACATATGCGCGAAACATTACTTGACGGGCGGTGAAAACATATTGTAGTCTATTTTAACTTGACAAAATATAACCAGTAGCGGCATAAGGGTAGGGCGAAGTGGGGCGACACCGGGCGTAAATGGGCGCCGTAGGCATTAGAGTCAAATAGTAGAGTCAAAAAAATACAAAGGGGCGGTGCCTCTATCTTTAGATAATTTCCCCCGACACCAAAAATGGGGGCATAAATCTCGCCCAGGGCGCCGGAAATGTTCTTATATTAATGTTTCTATTGTGAAAATTTTCAATTTTAATAATTTTGTAGTGTACCCAGACTGATCCTAAACTACTGAAGTTCACATTTGATCGGTGACATGTCAGCTGAGCAAACAGAATGCGAGAGATTGACGGGAATGAAGTCATTGGTGTGCGAAATGAGGCTGTTGGAGTCAGGCCGTCGGTAGGATTGATGTGTGCAATGCTTAGGCGTAATATGTGATGCGGTAATGAAACCTAACGCTGGAGAAAATTCGTTTAAAACGAACAAGCAAATATTGTTGATGATATACATAATAAAGTTAAAATTTTAAATAATAATCAAACGAAATGAAAAAATATACTTCCTTTAAATTTTTTAATCATCATCCCATTATTTATTCTCAACTAGCTGACGAATCTGTCCGTAGGGAATCAAAAAAACTTAATTAGTAGCCTTTATATTCTTTCAAACAATGTTCTGTATACCAAATCTCTATATAAAAAAGAAAGTCGTGTTAGTTACACTATTTATAACTCAAGAACGGCTTTACCAATATGGTTGAAAATTGGTAAGGAGGTAGCTTAGAGCCAGGAGACGGACATAGGATACTATTTTTTTCGATTTTATACCTTGAAGAGCTGCTTTTTATTTAACTTGCTAATATTATTAATGCGAATGTTTAGATGGATGTGATGTGGATGGATGGATGGGTGTTTGAAGATATCTCTAAAACGGCTGAACGGATCTCGATTAAATTTGGCATACATATAGAACATAGTCTGAAAGAACACATAGGCTACACTAATTAAGTTTTTTTATATACCCACGCGGACGGAGTCGCTGGCAACAGCTAGTATTGAGATAAGGCCGTTGATACATTCTAACAAACCTCTAACCATGCATCCATCTAAACATTAGCATTTACAATATTAGTAAGATTCATTTTATTGTTCCATACTCGTTCAATCTCGTACGTTGTGTTCGTGTTCAAATATCCATACGTTTGTAATCCAGTGCTATGCGGGGAGATCCCACGTCGCAGCTGCGTCACCGACCCGCACTGGATTAGGCTACGGTCTGGTAAGCACGCACGGTAAATTACACCAGTCTATTGCTATTGTATAGCCGAGCACAAAGCACGTAATTGTCATAGGAATTATCATTACATTCACATACCTATGTATGTATAACTGTCACCAATGACTTCAGCCACGCGTTATTAAAATAAACTTAGTAGCCTATGTGTTCTTCCAGACTATGTTTTACAGCTGTGCTAAATTTCAGCGCGATCTGTTATGTGGTTCTGGAGATACCTTCTAACAAACATCCATCTAAACATTCGCATTTATAATATTACGAGCTAGCGCCCGTAACTCCGTCCGCGCAATACAAAAGTTAATTAGTAGCCTAGTTTCGTCTGATGAGTGTGCGTCCTGGAGACTTAATTTAGTCCTCTTTCCCTTCCCACCCTTTTTCTTATAAGGAAAGGATGGGTAGTGGAAGTGGACTTTCCGGATGAGAGGATGCATGGAAAGGGAAAATATTTTCTTTCTGTGCATCCTCTCCGTCGATTAAAGATAGGCAACGCATACGCAATTGCGTATGTCTATGGGCAACGGTCACTGCGCTATTTCGGCGATTTCAGGTGGCCGCTCGCTCGTTTGCCACCTAATGATATAAAAAAAAAATCAAATTTCAGAGTGATCCGGTCAACCATTCTGGAGATACCTTCCAACAAAAATCCATCCATATAAACTTTCGCATTTAAAATATTAGTAAGAAGTAAGATTTAAATTGATATTTAAAATATGACAGGTTTAAGGATCTATTGAAGATTTATTTTGCTTAATATTAAAATCAATTACATTTCAAATGTACTTAATAATTCCCGTGTAAATATTTATACGTATTAATGAAAAGTTCGCGGTCATCGTTTCCAGTTGAAACCGGATACGAACAGTCGAAATTGGAGCTCGGATTTATTTGGCACAGCGTATTGACTGCGGATATTGCTTCAGTCTTTGTTGAATCGCCGAATTCTACACCGAGCTTGATACATACACCGGTAAAGGAAATTTCATCGAAATTGCATGAACTTTTTGTTTAAATAATTCATCAGAATTCAAGGGGATTTAGATTCTTTCTCAAAAGTGACTCAAGTGACGTCATACCTTTGATGTTAAATTATTCAAACTTTCGTGAGACATTATACTAAACTGATATATAAACACGGCTAAACACTCACGTATATACGTCCGGTGGCGGCACCGACTAGTTACCTTTTATGCATTCTTCTTTTGTTTCATTCTTCTACTTCTTCATATTACTCTATCTCTAATCTCTACGTAAACAAAAGAAACTCTAACGTTAATAGAAGCCATATTGTTCTCTTTTATTCGCTCCGTTCGTTCCTTTCCAAAAAAAATGTATTCGTATTTTGTCAATAATCTGGTAACTGGTGGCCAAAACTTCTGTCATCATCATCATCATCAGTTCACTATACGTCGCCATCGAGAGGCTCGGAGCCTACCCTAAGTTAGGGGTGATTAGGCCACAGTCAACCACGCTGGCCAATTTCGGGTTGGTTGACTTCACACATATCTTTAAATTTCTTCTCAGATATGTGCAGGTTGCATCATGATGTTTTCCTTCATCGTAAGAACGTCGGAAAATGTACAGAAGCAAACAGGAAATGGAAAAACTCATTGGTACATGGCGGGATTCGAACCCAGGGCCTACAGATTATATGTCAAGTGTTGAAACCCCTGAGCCACCGACACTCTTGTAAAACTTCTGTATAAAATGTATATCTTTCATAAAGCGGATGTAATAATATGCTTTAAACCGGGTATTT